CATTCACACAATGTAATATTACACAACATTGAAAAACAATGAATTTATAATATGTTATACAGCTTAAGTGAGCCTGGAACACATTATGCTGAGTCACAAAAGAACACCTCTGTTAAAAAAAGAAAAAAGAACACCTCCTTTGTAAAATAAGACTCAAATTGGGGGCTGGGTAAGAACAGGAAAAGATTGGATAGATAACCAACACCACATTGGAACGGATGAGAGAAGGAACTGTCTGAAAGGACTATATGATCAAACATTGTATATATGACAACAGTCTAGAACAAGAGGCACACTGCATACGGGGGACGGGGGGAGAAGGAAGAAGGAAAATATGTAACAATGAGAATGAAAATCCAGCCTTTCTGTAAATGTTCTTTAAAACCACTATATATATTTATTTATTTATTTATTTTTACATAAGAGAACAAAAATTCTCACCACTGGAACAATCGGTAAGTAACATCATAATAGATGGAGAAAAGATTGAAACTGTCAATGACTTCATCTTATTTGGACACAAAATCAGTACACTTGGTACCAGCAGTCAAGAGATCAGTAGATGTATCGCACTGGGAAAAATCTGCATTCAGGAGCCTCTCTAAATTGTTGAGGAACAGTGATGTTAGTTTGAGCAATAAGGTGTGCATAATTAAAACCATGATCTTTTCAGTCACTTGCTGTGCTTCTGGGAGCTAGACAGTGAATAAAGCTAACAGAAGAAGAATTGATCCACTTGAGCTGTGATGCTAAAGAGTGCTTAATATCTCATGAACCACCAAAAGAACAAACAGATATGTCTTGGAGAAAGTGGAACCAGAGTGCCCCTTGGAGGCAAAGATAATAAAGCTTCATCTCACATACTTTTGATATTTTGCTTCCAGAGGAATTTCTTACTTGTGAAAATAGAAGGATGGCATAAGAAAGAAAAACCCTCAACTAGGTAGATTGGCTCAGTGACTACAGCAAAGGGTTAAATTGTGTTGGAGATTGTGAGAATGGCACAAGAGAGAACAGGTTTCAGATCTGTTGTTCATAGGGTCGCTGAGTTGTACTTGACCTGCTGGAACCTTACAGGGGACAGGAGCTTGGTTCTCTGGCCAGAAATGGTAGTTGAGGATGCTGTCTCTCTAGGTACCCCTCTGTTAAAATTTAAAGCACAATTGAGATTTTAATGTATGCTCTGTTCTGGAATGTCTTTTTTCCGAATTCACTTAATTTTGGATTATCACATCAATAAATATATGATCCTTTTCAATAAATTTATCGCTATTAATGTTAACATTTGTATTTTAACATTCTACATGTGTTTATATATAATTTGTACATGAAAGTGAAAATTCTAGAAAAGTATCCACCTATGTGTTAAAAAGCATTATTTTGCTACGTAGTCTTTTATACATATACTTATGTTTACACTATTTTTCTCCTTGATTTTTTTTTAATTTTTATTATTTTGTGTGCATGTACCGTCAAATCAGATCTGACTGGTACAGGAGGATATTGCGCCTCCTTCTCCGGCAGAGCACCTGGTGGATTCGAACCGTGTTCCTCGGGGATTGCAGTGCAGCTTCTTGCCACTAGGCCACCAGAGCTCCCCTTCCTTGATTTTTTTTAAGAGTGAATACTTGCTTAGTAGAAACAATAAAACCTTCTATTTGAGGAAAATACGATTGAATAAATTTATACGTATATAGCATTTTGTTATGGAAATCTCCATGACCTTCTTTAATCTTTGAAAAATTAATAGCTGCTGAGATAATTTTAACTGTAAGGAAAAAATATCCAGAAAGCAAAGTTTCTCATCACTGGGCCAATTGCCAGCATCATGATAGACAGTGAAGATACTGAGATTTTTAACAGCTTTAGTTTGCTTGGCTCCATAGTCAACACTCTTGGTACCAGCAGCTTGGAAATCAAAAGATGAATTGCATTGGGAAAGTCTGCTGTCAAGGACCTCTCTAGAGTGCTGAGAGCAATAATTTCAGTCTGGAGACTAAGGTATGTCTGATCCAGGCCATAGACTTTGCAGTTACTTGCTGTGCATCAGAAAGCTCGACAATGACTAGGGATAATAAAAAGAGATTTGATGCCTTTGAGCTGTGATGCGTCAGGAAAGTATTGAAAATACCATGAACTGCTAGGAGAACAAACAAGTTCTTCCCATGGACGGTGAAACCAGGCTGTTCCTTGGAGGCAAAGATTCTGAAGCTCTATCTGACATACTTTGGGCATGTTGCAAGAAGAGACCAGTCCTTGGGGAGGGACATCATGTTTGGGAGGGTGGAGGAACAGCGCAAGAGAGGAAAACCCTTGATGAGATCAATTGACTTAGTCATTGGGATGGTGGGGGTAGGTGTGTCAGAGATACTAAGGTTGGCACAGGATAGAGCAGGGTTTAGGGCTGTTGTACATAGGTTCTTTCTGATTAGAAAGTGACTCCACAACACATAACAACAATAGTAACATAAGGAACAAAATGATACATAACGGAACCAGAAGATTTTTCAAAGGAAAAAAATGCATATGAATGAAGGTAAGAGCACCTTTAGGCAATCATTCCATGTCCCAGTCTCTTTTTTAGTGGTTATAGTAAAGTTTTTGTTTCTTCTTCCCAAAGAGTATCATTCTCTGGAGAATTTCATGGGTGATTGTTTTCTTTGTGAGTAGGAGAACACACCTTAAAAATTCAAGCCAAAACATCTAGCATCTTAAAATCTAATTTTCTCACTTATCTGTTTATTATCTCAAATGTCTTCCAAAAGCTCCCGTTAAAGAGACATAAAATTTTAAACTCAAATGTTTAATGTAAATGCAAAGTATACATACTTAGATGTTGTTGTTATGTGCCGTCAAGTTACCTGTGACTCATAGTGACCATATCTATGTACAACAGCTCTGAACCCTGCTCTATCCTGAGCCAACCTTGTTGTCACTGGCACACCTACCCCCATTACCCCAGTCATTGAGCCAAGTCCATCTCATCAAGGTTGTTTCTCGCTTCTGCTGTCCCTCCACTCTCCTAAGCATAATGCCCCTCTTTGAAGATTGGTACTTCCTTGCAACATGCCCAGAGTATGCCAGACGGAGCTTCAGAATTCTTGCCTCTAAGAAGCAGTCTGGTTTCACTCTCTCCAGGACAAACCTGTGTGTTCTCCTAACAGTCCGTGGTATATTCAGTACTCTTCTCCAGTACCACAGCTCAAAGGCATCAAGTCTCCTTCTATCATCCATAGTCATTGCCCAGTTCTGTGACACATAACAAGTGATTGCAAAGACCATGGCCTGTATCAAGCACACCTTAGGCTCCAGGTTGACGTTGTTGTTCATCAGTACTCTGGAGATGTCCCTGACAGCAGACTTTCCTGATGCAATTTGTAAATTGATCTCCTCTGCTGGTACCGAGAATGTTGATTGTGACACCAAGCAAACTAAAGCTGTTAACAATCTGATTTGCTTCACTATCTATCATGGTTCTCTCAGTTGGCCTATTGGTGAGAATCTTTGTTTTCTTGATGTTAATCTTCAATTCATATTGAAGGCTGCAGTCCTTGACCTTCTGCAGCAAATGTTTCAGGTCTTCCTCAGTTTCAGGAAGCAAAGTTGTGTCATCTGCATGCAGGTTGTTGATGAGTCTTCCTCCAATCCGGATGCCACATTCCTCCTTATAGAGACTCGCCTTGCAGATGATCTTTTCCACATATAGATTGTAAAGGTATGGAGATAGAACACATCCCTGGTGTACACCCTTCCCAATTTTAAAACATTCAGTGATTCCTTGCTCTGTTCTGAAACTGCTTCCTGGTCCTAGTTATCACATAAGCAAAATCAAGTGTTCTGGGATTCCTATTCTTCTCAGAGTTAGTCACAGCTTATTGTGATCCACACAGTCAAATGCCTTTGCATAGTCAATGAAATACAGATAGACATTCCTTTGGTACTCTCTGCTTGCAGCCAAGATCCATCTAACTCTAGCTATAATATTCCTAGTACCATGACCTCTTATAAACTCATTCTGCACATCTGGCCATTTTCTGTTAATGTGCTTTTTTCAGTCATTTTAAAAAATACTTTCCAGTAGAATATTGCTTGCATGTAATATTAATGATACTGTTCTATAATTTCCACACTCTGTCAGTTCACCTTTCTTTTGAATGGAAACAAATATAGATCTCTTCCAGTCAGTTGGCCAGGTTGTCCTCCAGATTTCTTGGCACAACTTAGTGAGTACATTCAGGGCAACATCTGTGTGTGGAAATATGTCAGTTGGCATGCCGTCAATTCCTGAGGCCTTGTTTTCTTGCCAATTTCTTCAGAGCTGTTTGAACTTCTTCCTTCATCACCACAGGCCCTGCTTATACATTGTTACCTGTAATTTTTCTGTGTCAGCCAATTCTTGGTACAGTGGCTCCTTCCTTGAGGCAAATAGTTTCTCCTAAGATATAGAAAAATAGTACTCTGTGTTTTGATCTATATATTTGCCTTTACTGTTGATACTGAGTGTTCATATAAAGCATTTTTAACTTTAAAAAATATGTTATATTTTATTGCTGATGTTATGTGTCATTGAGTTGCCTGCAACTCATAGTGACCCTATGTACAACAGCCCTAAACCCTGTTCTGTCCTGTGCCAATCTCATTGTCTCTGACCCTGACCTTTTGCAGCAAGTGCTTCCAAAAGCTCCTGTTAAAGAGACATAAAATTTTAAACTCAAATGTTTCAATGTAAATGCAAAGTATGCATACTTAGATATAGTTATTATATGCAGTCAAGTCACCTGTGACTCATAGTGACCCTATCTATGTACAACAGCTCTGAATCCTGCTCTATCCTGAGCCAACATTATTGTCTGTGGCACAGCTACCCCCATTACCCTAGTCACTGAGTCAATCCATCACATCAAGAGTCTTCCTCTTTTGCACTATTCTTGCAACATGTCCAAAGTATGTCAAACGAAGCTTTTTAAAATATATGGTATTTGTTTTCTTTATTTTAATAGGTAACTGGAAAAAAGGCATATGCTGCAACCCAGAAATTTTGTGAAGTTGTTAAATCATCGGGGACTAGAATCAGTAAAAAAGAATCACTCCCTGAAATAGAACCTAAAGAAAAAAATAAGGTAAAGTTTCAGTGCACTATGAAGTAGACATTTGCTTTTATTTGGATGGACATTGGCTTAGAATTGTTAGTAAACAGAGATCAAAGATAGAATGAAAGTCGTTAAAAGAGCCAAATTATTTTCTATCCATTTTAAAGGATATTTTATTGTTTTGTTAAAATAATTTGCTTATTAACAAAAAATATTTTTGGTAAACAGGTAGGGAATTGTGGTGAAAGTGAAATACCTTCAAAGACAACTGAAGTCCTGAAATCTCCAGTGCTTTTACCAACACAACCCAGCTCTGAAAGAAAGACCAAACCAGAACCTACTTCAGGTTTGTTTGGAGTAATTAAGCTTTATTTCTAGTCTTAAATAATTTGATTGTTTTCTAATTTGTAATGCTCCTTGGTGTCAAGGATTCTGAAGCTTCGTCTGACATACTTTGGGCATGTTGCAAGGAGGGACTGGTCTTTGGAGAGGGACATCATGTTTGGCAGAGTGGAGGGGCAGTGAAGGAGAGGAAGACCCTCGATGAGATGGATTGATTCTGTGAGTGGAGTGGTGGGAATGAGTGTGTTTGAGATGGCTAGGTTGGCACAGGATAGAACGGTGTTTAGGGCTCTTGTACATAGGGTTACTATGAGCTGCAAGCGACTTGATTGCACATAATAACAACAACAACATGGATTTATTTATTTCACTTCATTAGTTCTTCTTATAGATATACTTTGTAGTATTTTTAGATTTTGAAATACTTAAGACATAAGATTTTTCAGTTGCCTGTCACTCCGTGGAAGAAAGATGACTAAGTCCCTCTTGTGCAATCTGCAGTCTCAGAACTCCAGTGGATGGTCAGCCTTGAGATGGTTATGATTCAGTGGCAATGAGTTGAGTTTTATAACATAGTTTGTGATACAAATCTTTGCATATAGAGATACAGAGTAGCACTGGTGAGTGGCTTGACTCAATGAAGTTTTATCAATTTATAAATGTGAGCTTTTTAATAAGGAAATGTGCCTTTCTGAATGTCATCAATTTACAAACTATAGATAAGAGGGGCAGCTACGTAGAACAAGTAACAGCCTTTATTTTACTTGGGCTGTTTCACTCTACAAGGCTCTTCTTTTTTTATTTTCATCTTCCATAGGTGCTTTCAGACTCGAATAGTAGAAATGACACCAGTTATAATGTTAATAATGTTGTTAATATTAAAACTGATAATTAGTATGTTGTAGAATCAAATATTTGCAATTACAGTTTAGAGCTAATACAAGAACTTGTATTATACAGATAATGCAACCTTGCTTGCTGCAAGTAAAGAAGATTTTAAATTCTTACTATAGGTGATCAAAACTATAGTCTTTACTATTAGTTTATATATCAACATCAAGAAAAGAAAAATCTTCAACTCTGAACCTGTAAGCAACATCATGAGGGATGGAGTAGAGAGAGAAATTGTCAATGACTTCATCTTACTTGGATCTGCAGTAAGCACCCTAGCACCAGCAGCCTGGAAACCAAAAGATGTATGGAGAGTCTGCTGACAGGGCCCTCTCCAAAGTCCTGAAGAGCAAAGATGCTAGTTTAAAAACTAAGGTCCATGTGATCCAAAACATGATCGTTTCAGTTACTTGCTATACATCTGAAAGTTGGACAGTGAATAAGAATGACAGAAGAAGAACTGATGTTGTGATGTTTTAGAGGGGTGTGATGTTGGAGAAGATTTCTTAATAACCCAAGAAATGCCAAAAGGACTAACAAGTATATCTTGGGAAAGAAACAGTCAGAACGCTTTTTGGAGGCAAGGATAAGGAAACTTTATCCCTCATAACTTGGATATGTTGTTAGGAGGGTCCAGTCGTTGGAAAAGCCCATCATGCTCATAAAGGTTTGAAATTAGAGAAGGAGAGGAAGACCCTTAACAAGATGGATTGACTCTGTGACTGTAATGATGGGCTGAAGTATGTCACAGACAGTCAGGATGGCACAGGATATGGCAGGGTTCAGATCCATTGTTCATAGGGTCACTAGTAGACGTAGTCAATTCGACAGCACTTAACAACATCAGGTAAATACTACCCTTGTGATACTATGACCAAAAATAAGATTATGATGTTTAATATTATTTCAAATATATATTCACATATACTCACCAGTCACTATCATGTATAGGTTTGCTTATTTGTGCAATGTGAATATCTTATTCCAAACTGAAATATGACCAGAGTGATAGAGACTTCGAGCATAATAATATCTGTACTTTTTAAAAAAATAATCTCTGTACTTTTTAAAAAAAGTCATACTGTAGTACAAAAGGCAGTAAATTTCTGGAGCTTCTATAACTTGCCCAAAGTCATATAGCTCATGAACAGAAGAGCTTATAGCTTAGATCTTCCTAACACCGAAGTCCTAATTCTATCCAATGTTCATATATTATTTAATATAAAACTAGCGCTTTGTCTCTAATTTCCATCTGAGATCGATTGAATAACTTAAACTGCAACTCCACTCACATCCAATTCAATGGCTAATGGTATGTTGTTGTGATTGTTGTTGTTGCTCTTAGGTGTCATTCGTAGCCTAAAACTCAGAATGACATTATGAACAGCAGATCTGAACCTTGCCATATCCTGTGCCATCCTCACCGTTTCTGCTATACTCCAACCAACCCATTGTTACAGTCATGGCGTCAGTCCATCTTGTTTAGGATCTTCAACTCTTTTGCTAACTCTCCACTGCCAAGTCTGTATTAGAGGTAGTCCAACCAGGGTGAAGTGCAAATGGGGAAATTCTCTTTCACGTATGTTGGGCATGTTGTCAGGAGGGCTAGTCCTTAGAAAAAGACATAATGGGAAAGGTGGGTGAATGGGATTGAGATGATAAATCCTCTATCTTTCTAAAAGCAAAGAGGAGAGCCCTCTATAGTAGAAGGTTATTGATGAATCTTCCTCAAATCCTGATGCCACCTTCTTCTTCACTGAGTACAGTTCCTTGAAAAATTTGTCCAGCATAGAGATTTAGAAGGTATCAATAAAGGATATAACCTGATTCGTACCTTCTTGCTTTTAAATGTAATGTGTGGATCACAACAAATTGTGGCTAACCTTGAGAATTGGGAATGCCAGAACACTTGATTGTGCTCATGCAAAACCTATACTTGGACCAGGAAGCAGTTCTCAGAACAGAGCAAGGAAACAATGCATGGTTCAAAATTGGGAAAGGAGTGCATCAGTGATGCATCTTGTCTCCATACCTTTTCAATCTATATCCAGAGCAGATCATTTGGGAGGCTTGACTTTATGGGGAAGAATGTGGCATCAGTATTGGAGGTAGACTCATCAATAACCTGTGTTAATGCAGATGACAAAACTTTGCATTGTGAAACCGAGGGAGACCTAAAGTGCTTGCTGTAGAAAGTCAAGGATGCATCTTCAGTATGTATTGAAGCTTAACATAAAGAAGACAAAAAAAATTACCACTGAGCCAATTGGCAGCACCATGATAGACAGAAGAGAATGAGGTTCTTAGCAATTTTAACCTACTCGAATCCACGTCAACTCTTGGCACCAGCAGTCAGGAAATCAAAAGATGAATTGCAATGGGGAATTCTGTTGTCAGGGACCTCTCCAAAGTGCTAAAGGACAACATTGTCGGTCTGGAGACTAATGTGTGCCTGATCCAGGTCCTGGTCTTCGCAGTTACTTGCTATGCATCAGAGAACTGGAGAATGAACAAAGATGACAGAAGAAATGATGCCTTTGAGTTGAGGTGCTAGGGGAGAGTACTGAACATACCATGGACTTCCATGAGAACAAACAGGTTTGTCCTGGAGAGGGGAAAACCTGGCTGTTCTTTGGAGGCAAGGATTTTGAAACTCTGTATCACATACTTTGAATATGTGGTCAAGAGGAACCAGTCCCTGGAGAAGGACATCATGCTTGGAAGGGTGGAGGGATAGCACAGGAGAGGAGACTGACTCAGGATAGAGCAGAGTTCAGAGCTATTGTACGTAGAGTCACTGTGAGTTGCAGGTGACTCTATGGCATTTAACAAGAGCAGTCTTCCTTGCTCCCTTCGCACAATAGCTTCTTGGTCTAGTTTGCACAAGCACAATGAGGTTTTTCAGGATTCCCATTTTTCTCAATGTTAGCCATAATTTATCATGATCCACACAGTCAAATACCTTTACATAATCAATAAAGCACAAATAGACATTCTTCTGATATTCTTTGCTTTCAGCTAACAGAATTTCAAGACAAAAGAACTTGAAGTGTGTGCTGCATAAGTTCAGAAACTGCAGCCTTCCATATAAATTGCATCTCAGTGTCAAGAAAACACAAATTCTTGCCACCAGACCAATAGGCAACATCATGATAGATTGGGATAAGATTGAAACTGCCAATGACTACATCTTACTTGGATCCACAATCAAAACAAAAAATCAAAAGCAGTCAGGAGATATTGAGACATATTGCACTGGGAAAGACTGTATTCAGGGACCTCTTCAAACTATTGAGGAGCAATGATGTCTGTTTGAGGCCTAAGGTATGCCTAATTCAAACTATTGTCTTTTCAATCATTTGCAGTGTTTCTGAAAGCTAGACAGTAAATAAGGATGACAGAAGAATTGATGCCTTTGAACTCTGGTGTTGGATAAGAGTACTGAATATGCCATGGACTGCACAAAGAATAAACAGATATGTCTTGAAGAAGGTGGATCCAGAGTGCTTTTTGGTGGCAAAGATGATGAAGCTTTGTCTCACATCTTTGGGGCATGTTGTTAGGAGAGGCTTTTCCTAAGAAAGGAATATCATTCTTGGAAAGGTGGAGGGACAGCAAAGGAGAGGAAGGCTTTCAACTAGGTAGACTAAAGCAATGGGCTCACACATGTCAGAGATTATGAGAATGACACAAAATAGGACAAGGTTCAGATATGTTGTTCATAGGGTCACAATGAGTTATGCTTGACTTGATGCCACCTAACAACTATTCTAATAGAAAATGTCATCTGAGTTGCCTGTAGTTCTTTTACAATGTCTAGCATAAAAACGAACAAAATATTAGTCATACAGTGAGACAAGAAGAAGATATTACTGACAACAAAAAGAAGAAAACAATAATAGCAGACCAAGAAGTGTCTTAAATTAAGTTATTAAAAGACAAAGACTTTATGTAACCATAACTACTGTGTTAAATGGAGCTCTGGTGACCTAGTGATAAGCAACTGCACTCAACCCCAGAGGCACACGGTTTGAATCCACCAGTCTTTCCACGGGAGAAGGATGGACACTCTCCTTCTGTGTAATTTACTGCCCTTGCAAACCTTCTGGAGGG